GTGAAACATCATGAGGTACAGTTGTAGACTTACAAATTTTTGTGCTTGGGTTTCAATTATACAATGATCAAATACCCATCCGTCCACCAGTGCCCATTTTCTACCACCATGGATCCCAGTATCCCTCCCACACCCATCCCCCCATCCCACCCTGCCTCTGTGGCAGGGCATTCCCTTTTGTTCTCTCTCTCCTTTTGGGTGTTGTGGTCTGCAAAAGAGGCATTGAGTGGCAATCATGTTTGGTCCATAGTCTACTTTCAACATGTATCTCCCCTCCTGGGAGGATCCTCCAAACACCCTTTATTTGGTGCTCCCTTCTCTATCTGAGCTGCCCTTTCCCCTAGAGTGCCTGGCTGGGCTCTAAGCCATGGAGTAATCCTCCTGATACTGATAGCTTCTTGGGTATTAATCTCCTATTTTTGTTACTTTAGGTCCCCCAGATGAAGGCGATCTTTTTATGTCTATCCCTCTCTTTCTGACTCATTTCGCTTAGCATGATACTTTCCACGTAGTACCACATTTATATAAATTTCATGACTTCATCTTTTCTAACAGCTACATAGTACTCCATTGTATAGATGTACCAAAGTTTCTTTAACCAGTCATCTGTTCTTGGGCACTGAGGTTTTTTCCAGATTCTGGCTATTGTAAAGAGTGCTGCAATGAACAAACAAGTGCAGATGTCACTTTGACTATACATTTTTGCCTCTCTGGGATATATTCCCAGGAGTGGTATTGCTGGGTCAAATAGGAGCTCAATTGCTAATTTTTTGAGAATTGTCCATAGTGTTTTCCAAAAGGGCTGAACCAGTCGGCATTCCCACCAACAGTGAAGGAGAGTCCCTTTTTTGCCACATCCGTGCCAGCATCAGTTGCTTTTGTTCTTCTGGATGTGGGCCAGTCTCTGAGGTGTGAGATGGTATCTCATTGTGGTTTTGATCTGCATCTCCCTGATGATTAATGATGTAGAACATTTTCTCATTTTTTTTTTTTGCCATTCGGATTTCTTCTTTGAGAAAGTTTCTGTTCATTTCATTACCCCATTTTTTTATGGGGTTGGATGTTTTCTTCTTGTGGTGTTCAACCAGTACTTTATATATCCTTGATATCAACCCCTTGTCAAATGTGTATTCGGCAAATATCCTTTTCCATTCTGTAGACTGTCTTTGTATTTTGGTCACTGTTTCTTTTGAGGTGAAGAAGCTTCTTAGTATAAGATAGTCCCATTTAAGATTGGCCAGTGGCGTGACATCTTTGAAGATACCATTAGCTTCAATGTCATGGAGGGTTTTGCCAACTTTGTCTTCAATGTACCTTATGGTTTCCGGTCTGATGTTGAGGTCTTTAATCCATTTTTATCTTACTTTTGTACATGGTGTTAGGCAGAGTTTTGAGCCCATTTTTTTGCATGTAGCTGTCCAGTTTTGCCAGCACAATTTGTTAAAGAGGCTTTCCTTGCTCCACTTCACATTTCTTGCACCTTTATCAAAGATTAGATGATAATATGATTGAGGGGAGATGTCAGTGTATGCAACCCTGTTCCACTGGTCTGCAACTCTGCCTTTGTTCCAGTACTATGCTATTTTAATTATTACTGCTTTGTAGTAGAGTTTGAAGTTAGGGAGGTTGATTCCTCCCATTTTCTTTTTCCCAAGAATTGCTTTAGCTATTCGTGGGGGCTTATTTTTCCATATGAATTTCAGGAGTGTTAGCTCCATTTCTTTGAAGAATGTCATGGGTATCCTTATAGGGATTGTACAATGCTTTGGGAAGTATTGCCATTTTGACAATGTTAACTCTCTCGACCCACGAGCAGGGGATATCTTTCCATTTTCTCATGTCCTCTTTTATTTCCTGAAGTAACATTTTGTAGTTTTCTTTGTACAGGTCAAATGGGACTATCTTAAACTAAGAAGCTTCTACACCTCAAAAGAAACAGTGACCAAAATACAAAGACAGTCTACAGAATGGGAAAGGATATTCGCCCAATACCCATCCGACAAGGGGTTGATATCAAGGATATACAAAGTACTTGTTGAACTCCACAAAAAGAAAACTTCCAACCCCATCAAAAAATGGGGTGATGAAATGAACAGAAACTTTCTCAAAGAAGAAATCTGAATGGTTAAAAGGCACATGAGAAAATGCTTTACATCATTAATCATCAGGGAGATGCAGATCAAAACAACAATGAGATATCATCTCACACCACAGAGACTGGCCCACATCCAAAGAACAAAAGCAACTGGTGTTGGCGCGGATGTGGCGAGAAAGAGACCTCCTTCACTGCTGGTGGGAATGCCAACTGGTTCAGCACTTTTGGAAAACATTATGGATGATTCTCCAAAAATTAGAAATTGAGCTCCCATTTGACCCAGCAATACCACTCCTAGGAATATATCCCAGAGAGGCAAAAAGAAAAAGTACAGTAGAAATGACATCTGCACTTCTATGTTCGTTGCTGCACAGTTCGCAATAGCCAAAATTTGGGGGGAAAAAAAAACCCAAGTACCCGAGAACAGATGACTGGTTAAAGAAACTTTGATACATCTACACAATGGAATACTATGCAGCTGTTAGAAAAGATGAAGTCATGAAATTTACATACAAGTGGTTCTACATAAAACGTATCATGCTAAGTGAAATGAGCCAGAAAGAGAGAGACAGACATGGAAATGCTGTACTTATCTGGGGAATATGAAGTAACAGAATGAGAGTAGAACACCCAAGATTAGTTGAGATAAGTACCAGACGGTCTGCTCCAGGGCTTGGAAGCCAGCAGCAAATGCTGGGGGAAAAGGCAGCTCAGATAGAGCAGGGAACACCAAGTAAAGGATGTTTGGGGGACTCGCTTGGGATGTGAGATGAGTGCTGCAAGTAGACTATAGATAGATTGAACACAATCGCCACTCAATACCTCTATTACAAACTACAAGACCCTGAAGGAAAGAGTGAGCAAAAGGGAATGTCCTTCCACAGAGGCAGGGTGGGGTGGGTGGGGGGATGGATTGTGGGGGTAGAAGGGCTACTAGGATCATTGGTGATGGAGAATTGGCACTGGTGGAGGGATGTGTACTTGATCATTGTATAACTGAAACCCAAGCACGAAAGTGTGTAAGTCTGCAACTGTACCTCATGATGTTTCACTAATAAAAAAAATAATTAATAAAATTTAAAAAAAAAATTTTTGAGAAGGGGAGCTAGGCCACACTTGGCACTCAGAGCTTACTCCTGGCTCTTTGCTTAGGGATCACTCCCAGTGAGGCTCACTGGACCCAGTGGACCTTATGTGGTGCCTGGACTGAACATCTGAGTCAAAATAGAGACAATCAACAGGTATAAAAAAAGATACAAAACATTGCTATCATCAGGGAAATGTAAAATAATTTCAGTGAAGCAGTTCCTCATATCTACCAGGATGGCTTCTACCATGAGGGAAGAGATGACGAGTTGGTTAGGATAGCAGGATGGAAGGGCAGTAACAAGAAGCTTCTGTGGGTGTGATATCAGTAAAGTCACTACAAACATAACCCAATTATCTTGATAAATGAATAAAAATACATGTTTATTGCTATATTATTATGACTACGAGGATCAAGGAAACTCCATAGTTTGCAACAGCATGATTGGGACTTGTCAAAGGAAAATGTTGCCTGCAACCACTTATAATTGTATCAAAAATAAAAATCTGATAGCACAACTTGATAGAATGGATAAAGTCTGAGAGAACATGGGTACCAGGAGTTGGAATCCAGGGAGTCTGTGATGGGTAGAGAGTCGCTATTAGGGAGAACAAAAACGTTGGGAAAGAGGATGATAGTGATGGCTTCATAGCACTGAGAAGGTAGTGAACACCACTAAAATGTAGATATAATGTACATTTAAAATGGCTTGTATGAAGAGACTAACACCAAGGACAATAGAGACAAGGACCTGGATTGCTCCACAGTTGGAAGCCTACCTCATGCGCTGGTGAAGAAAGCAGTTGGGAAAGAGAAGGGACCCCTAAATCAATGATGGTTGGAGGGATCCACGGGGAGGGAGATGTGTACTGACAATAGACAAAGGACCGAACATGTTGGCCTCTCAGTTATCTGCATTGCAAATCATAATGAAGAGAGAGTGAAAAGGAAAGTGCCTGCCATAAAGGCAGTGGGTGGGGTGCATGGAGTAGGGTGGAGGGATACTAGGGACTTCCCTGGTGTGAAATGTACACTGTTGGAGGGATGGGTGTTTGATCATTTTGTGACTAAAACTCAATCGTGAAAGCTTTATAACTGTATCTCACAGTGATTCACCTTACCAAATGCCAATAAACTTAAAAAATAATAAAGTGGCTTGTATGATCTATTTTGTTACACATCTTGCCTAATGAAAATTAAAACAGGAGTCCCCTTCCAGGTCGAAGAGCATTCAGAGTGCTCATACAGAGACAGACAGACAGACAGAGACAGAGACAGGGACAAAGAGCAGAGAGATCATATTCTTAACGACCAGCGATCAAAAAAAAAAAAGGAAGAAAGAAAAAACAAAACAAACGAAGCGTCGCCAAATTTATCCAATTTCGATTTTATTTTTCCATGCTTCCCCTGAACGAAAGTTTACAGTTTACCAACTGGGCTGGGCTGGGTCTCGGCACCACCCCTTAACGCCGTCTTCCCTTGGGGTGCACCGGCAGAGCCGCTGGAGCCTCACCGCCGCGGACAAGGGCCACACACTTCCCTGGTCCGGCGCCCCCGGGAGCGGACAAGCCCGTGCACCGCCGGCTGCGGCCGCTGGGACTCGCCGGCCTAAACTTTTGCAGATAGCGCTGTCGCCGGCTCCAACCAGAGGGCTCGGAGCTCGAGCCTCAAAGCCAATGGGAAGGCGCTCCCGCCCTAAGTCCCGCCCCCGCCGCTCCCGAGTGCCGCGTTTCAAACCCGCGGGAGCCAATGAGAGCGGGCGGACGCGCGGCGCTCGGGTCGCAGCAGCTCCGGGCGCGGCCTTTGAAAATCAAAAAAAAAAAAAACTGTCGTTGAGGCGCCATGGTGCGGCCGAGGGCCTCCGCCGCTGCGGGTGAGTTGGCGCTGGGTGGGCCCCGTCTCGTGCAGTCGGCGGGGGCACGATTTGGGAATCGGGAAGACTTCCATGCCCCCCAGGCCGGACGGTTTCCAATCCCGGGAGCCCCGAGTTCGGCGAGCCACGCCCGCGATCTGGGGCCCAAGTCCGGGCGGGGGTGCCCAGGGCGCGGCTGTCTGCGGGGCCTGACACCTCGGGGGTGGTCTTTTCTGGGAGACTCGCAGCACTTTTTATTTTTTTTTTTTTGCGGGATGATGCAGCTCGATCGCGCTTTTCGGGGATCCAGCCTCGACGTGGCTCCAAGGCCGAGTCCCGGCGCGTCCTGCCCGCGCCGGGACAGCTGTCGGATGCGGGGGTCGCCAAAGACCCGTGCTTTTCCCCGGGAGTTTGCGGGTTAAGTCGGCCCGGAGGGCCCAGGGTCCTGGGGTCCCTGACTTCTTTAGATGTGCCCTTGGCCCGCCTTTCAAAGCATTTCTGCTCGGGTACCTCTGACAGCACCGTGCATTGTCGTTTCGTAATTCCTGCCTCTGGTCTGCAAAGTCTTTGACGTCATCCTAGGCCCTTCACGGGACAGTCTTTAAGGATGGGCAGGGCGGCCGGACCCTTCAGACACGCCAATCTCAAGGTTTGCTCACTTGCTGGAAGGCTCGGAGCTTAGGTTCCAACCATCTCAGTCACCAGCATCTCTTGGGTCTGCACCGCTGGCACGTTCATAAAACGTACTTCAGTATGCCGGCTCCTAGGGGTGCATTGGAGTCGGACCCTAGGACACTAGTCGGACACTATTTTGCATAAGATGAGCTTCTGCGACAGTACAGCCTGTAGGGCGTTTGCCTTGGACGTGACAACCCAGGTTCCATCTCCGGCATCCCATATCCCACCCACTCCCCCCTCCCCAATCCCACCAGAATTGATCCTGAAATTCAGAGCCAGGAGCAAGCTTTGAGCGTCATGGGGGATGACCAAAAAAGTAAGAAGAAAATAAGGTTAAGAATAGTGTTCCAGAAGGGCCCAAGAGGTAGGACAGCGGGAGGGCATTCACTTTGAACCCAGCCAAGCCGGGTTCGACCCCTGGGACCCCATATGCCAGGAGTAATTTCTGAGTGCAGAGCCAGGAGTAAGCCCTGAGAGTTGACAACGTGTCCCCAAAAGTAAGGAAAAGGGAAAAAAAGTATTTGATGGGCAGGAGTGATAGTAAGCAGGTAGGGCGCTTACCTTGCATGCGACCAGCCTAGGTTCAATCTCCGGCACCCATATATATGTTCCCAGAACACCAGCAGGAGTGATTTCTGAGTGCAGAGCCAGGGGGTAAGTCCTGAATACCGCTGGGTGTGGCACAAAAATTAAAAGAAAAAAAAAGATAATGTTTGCACCCCTATAGTTTTTTAACCTTTGATTTTAGCCTTTTTCTTTTTTAATTTTTTTTTTAAATAAAGTCACTGTCACTGTCCTCCCGTTGTTCATCGATTTGCTCGAAAGGGCCCAGTAACGTCTCCATTGTGACAATTGTTACTGTGTTTGGCATATCGAATACACCACGGGGAGCTTTCCAGGCTTTACCGAGCAGGCGAGATAATCTCAGTAGCTTGCGGGGCACTCGGAGAGGGGCGGAGGTAGTTCACAATATTTTATTACATTTGATATTCAAACACCAATCCCACCACTATTCCACCTTCCCATCACCATATTTCAGATGTTTCCATCCCGAACCCCAACCCCTGCCCAAAAGTAGAATTAAAATAATATATTTTGTATTGTTTTTGTTTTGAGAAACTGCTTAAAATGCAGTTACAAAAAAGTTTTCTTATAGGAAAGACTGTGAAGATTGTTGTGGTATGTCAACCAGGGGTCATTAAGCACTTCTACAAGAGATAACTAACATGTTGTTAAAGGTTGAGCATTGTGTACTTAGCTGTAGAAAAAAATATTTCCTCTAAGTATGATTGGCCCCTACTTTGAACCCCATCAAATGTGGTGCGGTACTCTTGGAGTATAGTGGTGTGTGGTTGAGGTGTTGTGCAGCCACAGATTCAGCTGTGTGGTCCAGGAATAGGTTCACTTGTGGGTGAGGCTCGCCAGAGAGTGTGGAGAGCGGCCATGAGCATGGTGGTGGTTGAGTTCTGGAGGTTTTCGGCTGCCAGGGCTGGGTCCCTTGGGGCAGGAAGGGGGTCTCACCTACCCTGCTCCAGGGCGCCCCAAATGAAACAACCTGGTGTGGAGTCCGGCGGCGTGGGTATGGCGAGTGTCATGTTATGCTCCATTCTGGAAGAGAAGGACATGTGACTCTGGCTGGTGGATTTTGTTTTTTGTTTTGTTTTTTTTGTTTTGTTTTTTTTTGGTTGGTGGATTTTGGCCTTTTTCAACCAGCTGTTCCTCCACAGATTCTTCCTGTGAATTTCAATAATTTTTTTCTTTGTTCCTCTCTATAGCATCTAGATTTTGCCACTTCTTTTGTTTTGTTTGTGTTGCTGTTCTTGTTGCTGTTGTTGTTTTGTATTTTATCTCCAGTGTTTCAATGGAATACCAACTTTTCATCCCCTGACAAATGCCTTGGAAACATCGTGTATATAGTGGCAAACACTATATACATAAATATATGTTTGCCTTGAACCCCTAACCTGGTCTCATTTGTCCTCAGTCCCGAAGAAATCATACGTGATTTTTGTGGATAAAAACCATCATTTCTAAGGGCTGGGGCAATAGCACAGTGGGTAGGGCGTTTGCCTTGCACGTGGCTGACCCGGGTTCAATTCCCAGCATCCTATCGGTACCCCAAGCACTGCCACACCACTAGGTGTGCATGAGCTAGGAGTAACCCCTGAGCATCGCTGGATGTGACCCAAAAAGAAAAAAAAATCATTCCTACAAGAATACCATAGGTCTGGCTCACCTGGTCAAGTGGACCAGCAATCATTTCTCCATTCAGGGGCCTCAATGGTGGTGTTTAGCACCGGGTAGGGCAATTGCCTTGCATGTGGCTGGCCTGGGTACAATCCTTGGCATCCCATATGATCACCCCCCTCCCCCCAGCCCCACCAGGAGTTATCCCTGAGCTCAGAACCAGGAGTAAGCCCTGAGCACAGCTGAGTGTGTCCCAAAAACCAAAACCAAACAAACTTCTTCATGTGGAGCATAATAGGCTGTACCTAAGAAGCAGGACTTAACAGGTAGGACTCAGGGGCTAGATGAACCTGGTTTTAGATTCTGAGCTGACTGGGGGCATATTCCTTCTGCTTAAATTTCAGACTGAAATACGTCCTGGGGTGGTTGTCAGGGTTAAAGAAAGTAGGAGTACAAAGAGCTTAATATAGGGGAGAAAAATATGATGTTGCTGAGGTGGCTTATAAAATGATTACAGAAATGGGTTGTCATTTAGAATGTCATTTAGAATAGTAACTGAATTGGTTAAAGTCTCTAGTCTCGAGCTGAAATTCCATTGTTGCTTGCTTTCCTCTTTTGCAGAAGAACGGCAAAGAAAACTCCAGGAGTATCTAGCAGCCAAGGGGAAACTGAAATGCCACAATGACAAGTGAGTTTGTCTCCCACACTTAGGCCTCGTTTTGTTGCCCTGGTTCCTAAGAGCTTTCCAAGCCTCTTCAGCGCATTGCTCATTTGCTTATCATCTGCTCCGATTGCACTGTGAGTCTATTGTGGTTGGAGAAGGGCCTTCATACAAGACAGAGACAGTTGCGTTATTATTGTCAGTCTCCAAGGGAGGAAAGGGGAGGAGCTGCAGTATTCTCTGCCATGCTAGAGTTTTTATCTGTTTCCTGTTCTTCTAAGAAAGTAATTCCCATGAAGGCACCATTTGCCAGAGGAGCTGTGTCACCCTGATTGTAGTTATTCTTTCTATTTTGCTCTGTAGTTTTGTTGGTAGTGCTTCTTTGGGAAGCAGGAAGCCAGTTTTGGTTTAGTCCTCCTCCAGTCGCTCCGTGCTTATTGGTTATTTCCCTCCTCATTTGGGGACAGAATATCTTCACTGGATGGGCTGGAGCAATAGCTCATCGAGTAGGGCATTTGCCTTGCACATGGCTGACCTGGGTTCGATTCCCAGCATCCCATATGGTCCCCTGAGCACCACCAGGGGTAACTCCTGAATGCAGAGCCAGGAGTGACCCCTGAGCATTGCCGGGTGTGACCCAAAAAGAAAAAAAAAAAGTATCTTCACCAACATCTTCTGTCAGTATCTCACCACCTTCTTACTGTTATTTGTTCCATTCATTTAGCATTACATTTTTTTCTCCCTACCTGGGTTGTTAAACTTTTATTTGAAAACTACTTTTTTACAAAATTAGCTTTTTTCCCTTTTAGTTTCTTTTAATGTTGGTTTTGATTCTAACTTTCTTGATTAAATAGACTTAATTTTCTGTATTGATCAGATATGGATTTAATCAGTAATATATCAGTTACTCAAGACAGAGATTCTTTCCCCTCCAAGGCTTGCATTATTATTAACATCTCTTAATAATCTCATAATCAGAGAACAGAGGGGAATGCCCTGTCACAGAGGCAGGAGGAGGATGGGAGGGTGGGAAGGATCCTGGGATCCGTGGTGGTGGGAAATGGGCACTGGTGGAGAGACAGGTATTTGATCATTGTATGTTTGAAACCCAAGTACAAAATTTGTAAGTCTACAACTGTACCTTATGGTGTCTCACTGATAAAAAAAAAAATTAAAAATTTTTAAAATTTTTAAAAATAAATAAATAATCTCATAATCATTTTTTTTAACTTTTAAAATTTTTTTTGATTTATTTTATTCTCTTCCTTCCCTTCTGCTGCTGTGTTAATTGCTGGATAAGGTAACAATCCTTAACGATCCTTGGAATTGAACCCTGTATTTCTCCTCTTTTCTTGTTTTTTTCTGTTTTTGTTTTTTGTTTGTTTTTTGTTTTTGTTTTTTTATTAGTGAAACACCATGAGGTACAGTTATAGACTTACAAATTTTTGTGCTTGGGTTTCAGTTATACAATGATCAAGTACTCATCCCTCCACCAGCGCCCATCCTCCACCACCACAGGTCCCAGTATCCCTCCCACCACCCCCCATCCCCCCATCCCACCCTGCCTCTGTGGCAGGGCATTCCCTTTTGTTCTCTCTCTCTCCTTTTGGATCCTGTGGTTTGCAAGAGAGGCATTGAGTGGCAATCATGTTTGGTCTATAGTCTACTTTCAGCATGCTTCTCCCATCCTGGAGGGTCCTCCCAACACCCTTTATTTGGTGCTCCCTTCTCTATCTGAGCTTCCTTTTCCCCTAGCACGTGTGGCTGGCCTCCAAATCCTGGAGCAAAATTCCTAATCCACTAATCCACCCAGGAGTGGCCGAGATAAGTACCAGGAATTTTGTTTGTTTGTTTTGAGACCTTACCCAGCAATGCTTGGGGATTACTCCTGGCTCTGCACTTAGGAACTACTCTGGCGGTGCCCAGGTGCCCATATCGGACAGATACTGGAGATAAAACTCAGGTCGCCACTTGGAAGGCAAGCGCCCTACCCACTGTATATCTCTCCAGTCCCACTTTCCTATTCTTTTTCACGTTTTCTGTCAGATTTATTAGGTTTCATTTGTACTCCTAATGTTGGTTTGATCACCTTCCCCTCCTATAAAATTGCTTATTAGAAGAGACTTAAAGCAAAAAAGTTTTTTGGTTTTGCAGCATAGCGGGTAGGGCTTTTGCCTTGCATGCGGCCGACCTGGGTTCGATTCCTCCACCCCTCTCGAGAGCCCAGAGAACTACCGAGAGTTTCCCGCCCCCACAGCAGAGCCTGGCAAGCTACCCGTGAGGTATTCAATATGCCAAACATAGTAACAAGTCTCACAAAATGAGATGTTACTGGTGTCCGCTGGAGCAAATTGATGAACAACGGGAGGACAGTGCTACAGTGCTTTTTTTTGGGCCATACCTCTCTTGCTCAGGCTTTACTCCCGGCTCTGCATTTAGGGATAACTTCTGATACTCAGGGATCACTCAAGGTGGAACTCCTGGTGTACAGGGATTTAAACTGGGTTGTCCATATGCAAGGTAGGTAACCTACTATCTCTCTGGTTTGGAGAAAATTTTTTAAAGAAGCATTTTAAGGGTCTGTCGAGGTAGTACAGTGGGTAAGGTGTTTTCATATACTTAGTATGTGGAAACTCTTGGTTCAATCTCGAAGGAGTAAAATAATGGAATTAGGTAATATAAGAAACTTTTTTCAGATATAATTTAAATTATTTTATTCAATGGGATGGAGCGATAGCACAGGGGGTAGGGCCTTTGCCTTGCACGCAGCCGACCCAGGTTCAATTCCTCCATTCCTCTCAGAGAGCCCAGCAAGCTACCGAGAGTATCCCGCTGGCACAGCAAAGCCTGGCAAGCTCCCCATGCTGTGTTCGATTTGCCAAAAATAGTAACAGCAAGTCTCACAGTGGAGACGTTACTGGTGCCCACTTGAGCAAATCGATGAACAACAGGACTACAGTGCTATTATTCAATAATTCTAACAATTTAAAATTCTAAGCTTGGGGCTGAAGTGATGGTACTGCAGGTAGGGCATTTGCTTTACACACAGCAGACCGGGTTCAATCCCTGGCATTCCATACGGTCCCCTGAACATCTCTAGGAGTAATTTCTGAGTTCAGAACCAGGAGTAACCCTTGAGCATCATCAGGTGTGACTAGAAAAAGCCTAAATCAATAAATAAAATTCTTCTTTTTTTTTTTTTCTTTTTGGGTCACACCCGGCGATGCTCAAGGGTTACTCCTGGCTCATGTACTCAGGAATTACTCCTGGCGGTGCTCGGGAGACCATGTGGGATGCTGGGAATCGAACCTGGGTCGGCCATGTTGGCTGCATGCAAGGCAAACGCCCTACCTACTGTGCTATAGCTCCAGCCCCAATAAATAAAATTCTAAGCTTAATAAATTTAGTCACTTGTCTTGTTTCTCTTTCTGTACTAGGAATTAATCTTATTTTGTCTTTTATAGGCCTTATCTAAAAGCAAAGAATAATTGCCCAAATCCTCCGCATTCTAAATCCGTAAGTAGCAGTTACTCCTTGTAGAAATACCCATTCAAATTATTTGTAATGAAATTAATCACAATAATAGCCTAAAGAACATGTAGAGCAATGATATTTCTTATAAATATAAGGACAGTTTAGTCTAAAAGGGAATTTTTTTTTGAAAGTACATAATACTGCAGTTTAGATTTTGAATTTTAAAAAGTAATCCTTAGGTGTTCTTTGGTCCTTTTTAGTTGAATACTTACTATGTGCTAGGCATTAATTAACACATTGTTTTCTTCTAACTTTATGAGGTAGATACTTACTAGTAACCCATTTTACAGAAGAGGGAACTGAGTTGGAAAAGTTAAGTAACTTCCTAAGGTCACATAGCTTTTAAGTGACAAAACAAAGAATTTGTAGTTTCATAGATACTTACTAGTAACCCATTTTACAGAAGAGGGAACTGAGTTGGAAAAGTTAAGTAACTTCCTAAGGTCACATAGCTGTTAAGTGACAAAACAAAGAATTTGTAGTTTCATCCACTTTGGTTTGCTGCTGTTAAATAACTCAATTAGCTCATTAAAAAAGAATACCCATGTTGAGTCTTGCAAGTTATTTAATAAGAATATGCTTCCTAATTGTTTGTTTAACAAATTGTGAAAAAATTGTAAAGGAGTCTAACACACTGAAGGCTGAGTGGGAGAAATTAGCCCTTCTGAAAGCAGTGCAAGTTTCTCATTTGCAGTTTTACAAGTCAGTGAAAATTCCACCTTCAATTTTTAAAGCCATAGTTTTAACTAAGTTCTAACCAATAGCTGAAATAACATTTCCCATGGTGAGCTATCTGTGTCAATTATAAAAAAATGTTAATGACTAGTCACTGAACACAGACCTATACATAGGCATGTATATGTCATATATAAACTATATGTTATATGCCTACACGTGGCCTCATTAGACACTAGAGGATAGAAAATACATAAGGCACAATCAGTGCCTGATGATGCAGAGTTGAGAATCATTGGCTTAGACTTCTGCTTCATGCAGGTTAAACCAGACTTTATGCAAGAGTTAAAGAGAGAATCCACTAGAAGTTCAGCTTTTAGAGTTCATAGAACCTTTAGAAGTTGACAACACTTATTTCCGTATGCCATCCTAGAAATGAGGGGATGCTTTATCTGCTAACACAATAATGAAGATAGGAATGAAGCTGGGACGGGGGATGCAGAGCTTTAGTACAATGGCTATTTTAGGGGGCTTGCATTACACACATCCAGCCTGGTATGATCCCCGGCATCCCATATGGTCCCCGAGCCTCTGTGAGAAGTGGTCCTTTAGTGTAGAGCCAGGAGTAAATTAATTCTGAAGCACCACCAAATGTGGCCCAAAAACTTACCAAAAAAAAAAAAAAAGTGAAGTTGGGAAGTGAATTATGACCCCAAAATGGGGGAAACAGCAAAATAAAAAGTATTTAGGAAAAAACAAGTAACAAGTGAAAACAGCTCAGGTGTCCTTAAGTTAATGAATAGGTAACTAAATGTGGTTAAAAAGTAATGAAATGTGAGTGTAGGAACAGAGTATATGGAACTTGCTGAACTCCCCATTCAATTTTGCTATAAGCCTAAAAATGCTCTTAGAAATAAAGTTTACTAATTAAAATAATGAAGTTCTGATAGATACATTGTGGATAGGCCTTGAAAACTGTGCTGAGAGAAGCCAGATTCAAAGACCATATATGGCATAATTCCATGTATATGTACTGACCAGAATAGACTAGTCTTTAGGTGAAGAAAGTAGATTGGTGTAGATTAGTAGTAATAAGATTAGTACTTACATGCTTAGGATATGTGGAGAGAAGGAAATGAGGGGTAATTGCATAACAAGTGCATAATTCCTTCTGGGGTAATAAAAATATTCATAAAACCAGGTAGAGGCATTGGTTACCAGGTACCACTCTTGTTGAATATACTCAAACCCACTAAATTTTATGCTTTTAATTTCTATGGAAATTTTCTGAAGTGCAAATTTTAATCCCAGGTTTGGCGTTTTCTTGCATTTAAAGAAAAAAAAGGAACGAAACATAACACAAATTTGGAAAATTTCATACCAGAATTGAAGTATTGAAGTTGTAGGAATAATCAGTTTGGGTTCAGGGATATAGTTGAGTAGCTGGGCACTCGCCTTACATTTTTGAGGCCCTGGATTTGATCCTGGAATCCCCCCACACACACCACCACCACCCTGCCTCCCTCCACCCAGCCAAAAAATGTTGGTTGGATTCCCAACATTATTTGTTCTGTTTGTGAACATACAGCTTTCTTCAATGAAAATTCAAGTTTTTTCTAACTTATTTTAAAACAGTTATTTTTATTATTTTAAGAATGGTGAGGGGGGCCAGCAAGGTAATTCTACAGACCGAGTTTATGCTTTGTGCAGGAAAACTTGGGTTTGGTCCCAAACCTCACCATCCCTGTGTGTGACCAAAAACAAAACAAAACCCCAAAATAAGATATTGTTGTGTGTTTTTGTTTATACATTTTTCTTTGTCTTTCTAGACTCTTAGACCCAAAAAGGATCTTACGAGCCATCTTGCTTTGCCTGTCAAAGTCCAAAGGCCTATCAGCGCTAAACTTCAGTCCAGACCTGCCAATATCCCAGGACCCCAGAAGCCAAAATCAGAGCCACCAAAACTTCCAGACAAAAGGCTGACTTCAGCTTGTGTTTCTTCTAACTCAAACTGTGAGCCTTCAGACAGCTGTCAACAGCAACATGAAGCTGGATCATCCACAGGCGCAGAACTGTCACTTAATACAGAGGGACTAAAAACTACAAGGCAGCAGAAAACAGATCAAGGGGATGCTAAATGTATAGTCTCTAGAGACAATACGCACGTGGAAAATGAATCCTGGGACAACTTTCTGAAAGAGACAAACAAAGAGAACTTGCCCTGTGCTTTATCAGATTCTGAGAGGAAGCTCCACGGTGAATTATTGACCATAAGTAAACCAAAGATTCACTCGCATAATCCAACCAAGAGCAGTGTAGCTCCTAAACAAAACTTGGGCAAACGCTCAGTGAAGAGTGCTCCTCTGAAGGACCAAGCTAATAAACAGTTTCACAAAAGGAATCTACCGGGAAAGTCACAGCAACTCTCTAGAGAAGCAGAACTTGCAAGGCCAGGAGGAAAAGCCCTAAAGACAGCTTCCTCTGCCTTTGCCCAGGCTTCAAGCAGGAGTCAAGCAACAAGGAAATCAGCGGTCACAGATATAAAGGCTAGTAGGGATAAATATAAAAAAGCAAATGAAACTAAGTTTCAGCTACACACTATTACTAAAGAGAAAGCAAAAAATTCCAAGCCCAGGACATGCCCCAATGTGCTTCAGGGAGAATATTGCAACAGATATGCAAATATTAAGCAAGACCACAAGTCCACTCAACCCTGTTCTAGACCTCAGACATCATGTGCACTGCAAAAGTCAAAAGCTTTCAGCCAGAGGCCTAATTTGGCGGTTGTCAACTTTAATCCAGTTGTTCCAAGCACACCAAGCCTTCGCATGAGTGGAATTAATGGGAATAAATGCCATACCAGCTGTCAACCAAAAGTGCGGACTGTGGATTCCAGGTTGCAAAGGGCTCTTCCCCAGAACCGTTTTCTGAGCAGGACAGTTCCCAAAACTCAAGTAGAAGGCACAGCCTTAAAGGCCAGGAGAGTTCCAGAAGGGACCAGAACGAATGCAGATAATAAGAACACTGCAGCAGAGATGCGCAGGTACTTCATTTCCAAAATTTTGCAATTTAAAATAATGAAATAGGGGCTGGAGTGATAGCACAGTGGGCAGGGCTTTTACCTTGCACGTGGCCGATCTGGGTTCAATCCCCAGCATCCCATATGGTCCCCCCAAGTACCTCCAGGAGTGATTCCTGAGTGGAAAGCCAGGAGTAACCCCTGTGCATCACTGGGTGTGACCCAAAAAGAGAAAAAAAAAGAGATAAATTTACTATCACAAAAGGTCAAGGATATAGGTCAGTAAATAAGCCATAAATAATGGCTCCTATGTCATTTTTGAGCTTAGACTCTTTTATTTTAAAAGAAAGGAAAATTCAAAGCTTATAATACCATAGTAAGATGGTGTATATGCTGGGTGGTTATGTACACATGTTTAAACTGCCATAATTTCCTGTATGCTTGAAAAAAAATTTTTTAAGAAAATTGAACAACTGTACCTCATGGTGTTTCACTAATAAAAATTTTAAAAAATTTTTAAAAATTTAAAAAAGAAAATTGAGGTATAAGTATCAAGGAAGAAATAAGTCAGCATGTAAATTACTTATTTAAGAAGTGTCCTACAGGAATCAAATAGCAGTCAAAGACCCAGCATTGGTAGCAGAACCTGGAGTGTCCTACATAGCTCAAAAGTTTACATGATTACGAATCAGGGAGATAATAGTCCCTTCTCAAGCAGAGCAATGGCTAATCTAGAAAAGTTAACGGAGAAGAAAACACAGGAAGCATCATGACTCTAAACTGGTCCCGTTTGGGGAAGTAAACTAAGGGGCAGGAGAGATGGTACAGGGATTAATGTGCTTGCCTTCTATCCTACTGACCCCATTTTGATTTCCTGGTACCACATATGAGCCTCCTAGCACCGGTACCAGGGGTCACTCCTGAGCACAGAGCCAGAAATAGCTTTTGAGTACCACCAAGTAAGATCAAATCTTTCCCCCTCCTCCCCGCCCCCCCCCCCACATACACACACAAAAAGCAACTGTCAGCTTCTTAGAATTAGGAGTAGAGGATGTGAAGCAAAGATTAGGACTTAGCACCACTAGAGACCTGTCCCTTAAAATAAGATTCCCCCTGAAATTATTGATCTTGTTTGATCATGTGTGACCAGGCGCAGCCTCAGAAATTGGAGAAAGAACCCCCTCCTCAGGGAAGAATGTAGTTTTGTGGGCCAAATCTAACTGAAAACTAACCAAAATCTAACTGAAAAACTTCCAGTGAAAAGTTTTTCACTTCCGGATCAGTGGTGGGGGAATCTCTTCGGAAGGCCTGTGTCATGTCAGGTAGCTTACAGGGGAAATGAACGTTTTCAAAGAAAGATGATGAAGACCCCTTGTGATGTAAAGGAGCGAGTGCCCTGGGAGCTGCCCATTATGAGCCCAGTAACCCCCCCTGGCATCTGATTCTGAAGGAGCAGGCAGCTACTGCTTGTCAACTGTTCTTCATTTCATTCTCCTGACTGCATAGTTGAAGGTGTTTATTGATAATCAATGCATATTGTATGTTTTAGAAACTTGACTTTACTATACTTATTTATATATAGCACTGTAGATTGTAGCACTGTCCTCCAGTTGTTCATTGATCTGCTTGAGCGGGCATAGTAATGTCTCCATTGTGAGACTTCTTGTTACTGTTTTTGGCATACCGAATATGCCACAGGGAGCTTGCCAGGCTCTGCTGTGCGGCCGGGATACTCTCAGTAGCTTGCCGGGCTCTCCTCTGTGTGTGTATATATATATATATATATATATATATATACATATACATGTATATATATACATATATACATGTATATGTATATATATTTGTATACACACATATTTCTTTTTCCCTTTTCATTGCATAACAGGAAACAGCTCGAAGAATGGCAGAAATCTAAGGGGAAAACCTACAAACGACCTCCCATGGAAATTAAAACAAAAAGAAAAGTTATTGAGAAAATGAATATTTCATTCTGGAAGAGCATGGAAAAGGAAGAGGAAGAAAAGAAAGAACAGCTTGAACTATCCAATAAAATCAACAACACCCTGACAGAATGTTTGCAGCTCATTGAAAGAGTAAGTTGGGGATAAGCACTTAAAGTTGTGTACGTTGTTGAGCATTTTCTCCAATACATTATAGAAGAGATCATCTTTAAGTAGAAATTTGGTCCCTATGTGAAAGAATAACAGGAAAAATAATAACACACTTTAAAAATAATTCTTACTTGCCAGGCATTCTGCTAAGCACTTTTTTCATATGATACCATATTATTAACATCATAACAGCTATTACTAGGTCCACTTAGTACATGAAACTGGGGCACAGAAAGGTTAAGAAACTAGTCTAGCTCCAGAGTGATCCAAAAGGAACTTTGCCTTCTTCATGGATCAAGGTCCAAAGAATTAAACACTTGACATTTGGATATGAAACTGAGTTCAAAAGTCAAGGTCATGGGGAACATAAAGTAACAAAATAGGAGACTGACACCCAAGAATAGCCAAGATAAGTATCAGGAGGTTTACTCCATGGCTTGGAGGCCAGCCGCACACGCTAGGGGGAAAGGCAGCTCAGATAGAGAAGGGAGGATCAAATAAAGGGTGTTGGGAGGATCCTCCCAGGATGGGAGATACATGCCGAAAGTAGACTCTAGACCAAATATGATTGCCACTCAATGCCTCTTTTGCAAGCCACAGCACCCAAAAGGACAGAGAAAACAACAGGGAATGCCTTGTCACAAAGGCAAGGTGGGATGGGGGGATGGGGTGTGGGAGGGATACTGGGATTAGTGGTGGTGGAAAATGGGCACTGGTGGAGGGATGGGTAGTCAATTATTGTATAACTGAAACCCAAGCACAAAAATTTGTTAGTCTACAACTGTACCCCATGGTATTTCACTAATAAAAAAAAATTTTTTTAAATTCTTTAAAAGAAAAAGTCAAGGTCATATGTAAAGATGGATTATCCTAAACACTCAGTAGCTATAAATGGCACTTAAAATATGTATTGGTTCTCCAGATAAAGATAGGAGAGAGGTAACGTTTTAATCATTAGGCAAGTCCTTGATAGTTAAATATGTTAATACGTAAAATTATTTGGATAATCAGTTCAGAGAAATGTTCCTGGTTCCAGTCTCCAGCACTGTGTGTGGGTTCTGATCTCATCTCAAGTTTGTCGATCTGCTGTTAATTGCTTTTGTGTAAGGTGTGAGATATGGATCCAGTTCCATTTTTTAATGAGTGATTTTCCCAGCAGCATTTGTTGAAGAGGCTATCTTTACTCGACTTCATTTACTCAACTCCTTTGTCAAAATTTACTTGACTGTAGATGTGGGAATTTGTCTCTGTGGTAACAGTTCTAACCCATTGGTCAGAAGGCTTTCCTATCCCAGGACCATGCTGTTTTGATCACTATTGCTTTATAATACAGTTTCAAGTTAGGTGATGAGATACCTCCCATTATCTTATTTCTCAGTATGACTTTAGTCATTTTAGGGTGTTTATGATTCCATACAAACTTTATTATTGACTATATAAGTCCTCAAAGAATGCCATCAGAATTTGAATGGGAATGGCACTGAATCCATATAATAATTTAGGTAGGTTGGTCTTTTTTATTTTTTTAATCATACAACATTTATTTGTTCCTGCGCCCTCCGAGCCATCAGCAATAGCAGGAAAATGAATGGTGATTTAATGAAAAAACAAAAATCACAATACTGTTTGACAGCAAGAGGATAATTGACTGTGAGATGGGTTCTTTGAGGGACTGATTTTATTTGCATGTGATAGCATCTGTAGCTTACAGATCATCTTCCCTGAGAGTGCTGTTTGTTTTGTTTTGTCTTTGCTTTTGGAGGGGGCTACACCCAGCTGTGCTCAGCTAGTTTACTTCTGGCTCTGTAGTCAGGGACCTGTGAATGTTGTTTGATAATGGTTACCAGTGAGAATAATAGAAACAGTAGCTCAGCATCTCTCATAATGTTATCTGCCAGGCTGGAAAGGTGATGAAACTCATTAGTTCGACTCTCAGTGACTTCAGCTCTCTGTTCTATGTCAGTATCCACAGGTGGTTTGCTAAGCAGTGACACAATCACGTTCATTGGCAAAGAAATATGCTGATTTCTATGTGAGTTTGGCTTCTCAAGGTTCACTGTGTCACCCAGAGAGGAAAGGGACAGCTGAATAATGAGTAACAAGGCCTCTAGGGTCTATGTTTTCATAGGTTGGTCATTTTGACGGTACTGATTCTTCCGATCTATGAACATGGAATGTTTTTCCATTTCCTGAAACCTTCTTTTATCTCTTTCATAAGTGACTTGTAGTTTTAATGGTATAGGTCTCTCACATCTTTCATTAACTTGATTCATAGGTACTTGATGTTTTGGGAGACTATTTTGAGTGGAATAAACTCTTTGGTCTCTTTCTCTACTAATTCATTACTTGCATATGGAATGCAATAGTTTTTGTGTGTTGTAAGTCAGACTTTCTAAAGATTTTTGTCTTCCTTCAAAGACTGTTTTTTTTTAGTTTTATGTATTTTTTTCTTATATCAATATCTGGATCTATTTTTATATTGTTCTGTATCTATGTTTGTCAATTGAATGCTTAGATCATTGATGCCTGTCTTTATTTTCTTTTTTTTTTTTTAGTTTATTTGGGGGGTGTGGTTGGGGGTCACACCAGGTGGTGCTTAGGAATAACTCCTGATAGCTCTTGGGGGACCATATGGGATGCTGGGGATGGAACCCAGGAAGGCTGCATGCAAGGCAAGTGCCTTACCCACTGTGCTATCTCTCCAGTCCCCTCCTCTCTCCCTCCCCTATATGTTTTAAAATATTTATTTATTTTTAATCTAGACACTGACTTACACAGTTGTTCATAATAGAATTTTTTCAGGCATATAATGTTGCAACAACAATCCTACCACCAGGGTCCCCAGGGTCCCTGCCATCCCCCAGCCTGCCCCCTTAGCAGACATTTAACAAATTTATTTCATATTTCTTGTGCCAACAAAACTTAAAGAAATGGCAAGTGAAATTTTCAGAAGATAACCAACAAAAGTCAATTTGTAGTGATTAATTGATATATGATTATAATAAGTCTCTAAAGAAGGAAATTCAAATCATTTAGTACAATATAGGATACTACCTATTCTCATTTGTATACCTAAGTATCCAACTCTGGCATCCAAAGCATATTGTATTAAATTTTATTTTGCACTTGAATCTTATTGCAGTAATCATCGTATCTTCCCTTCATAAACAGGCTTTTTTTTATTTTTTACTTCTTGGTAGGCATAGAACAAATTTATATTATTTGGTTCCCCCCAAAAAATGGCAAATAGAATTATTAGAAAATAAATCAATGAAAGTCAATTTGTGATGATTAATTGTTATATGTTTTTAACCTCTATTAATCTAGAGGACAAGCATATATATACAACATTAGTGAGTGCCAAACTCAATGCCACATGATGGGAAATCGTTTACTTTCTTTTTTCTTTTAATTAATTTTTTTGGACATTTGGGGTCACACCCAGCAATGCTCTGGAGTCATTCCTGGCTCTGCACTCAGGAATTACTCCTGGCGGTGCTCAGGAAACCATATGGGATGCTGGTGATTGAACCCGGGTGGGCCACATGCAAATCAAACCTCCTACCCACTATGCTATTGTTTCATCCCCAGTCCTTTACTTTCTTAAAGATATAGTTAATGTCGTAAATTTACCTCTTATTTAGGTTTGATTGTATACTTCAGCGTGATTGGGTAATGCTCTTTACTTGTGAGAGAGGGAAGTCAGGAAAACAAGCTGTCCGGCCTTTTTGTCCCCTACATCCCAAATGGTCACCTAAGAACTGTCAGGGGCAATCCCTAAGTCCCACTGGGTGTGACCCTCACCCCACATATACCCCCCCAAAGTAAGGGGGGGAGGAGAAGAAAATCAAGATAGTATCAATGATCTAAGCATTCAACTGAAAAACATAGATACAGAACAATATAAGGGGCTCAAAAAGGATCTTTATTCAGAAGAGGCTTCCAGGGAGAACTGGAGAGGAGAAGGTCATGGGGGCAGGATGGGTCAGCCAAACAGCACGTGATATCAAGCAAAGTCTGTGGAGGATAACTTTTGCCCGGGGGCCTCTGGAGACTGTGGGGCATAGGTTTCAGGGCATCCCTTGAGGCGCATGTATCCTGCTGTTGAATGACGGCCCCAGGCAGGGCACAAAAGCTCCCAGGCACAGGGCTGGACGATAGTACAGCAGGTAGAGCACTTGCCTTGCACACAGCCAACCCAAGTCCAATTCCCCATATGTCCAATTGAGTCTGTCAGGGGTGATCGCTGAACTCAACCAAAAATAAATCTTTAAGGGGCTGGAGTGATAGCACAACGGGTAGGGCGTTTGCCTTGCATGTGGCCAACCCGGGTTTGATTCCCAGCATCCCATATGGTCCCCTGAGCACCGCCAGGAGTAATTCCTGAGTGTAGAGTCAGGAGTAACCCCTGTGCATTGCCGGGTGTGACGCAAAAATAAATAAATCTTTAAGATCGGGCATTTCTGATTCTCAGACACATTGCAGCACGAGAAATTGGAAAAGGATCTGGATCCTCCAGGGAAAGGTAGGCAGGTGCCACGTGCTATACTCGGGGCTGACAGCAGTGAGATGGAGGCCAGGATCTTGCTAGAGGTCTGGGGAAATGGGTTGGGGTTAGCAGAACCCAGACGCCAGAGAGACCAACTCTGGTGGAAGTGAAACACCGTCTCAGAAGGGCTCCCCCCCAGATCCTACGGACCCTGCAGGGCTAGGGCCTCATGCCTGAGATCGTGCTGCTACCCTCGCACTGGTGCTCGTGCCTCTGAAGGCACCCACAGGGTGGGATCAGTCAAGGCCAGTAAAAGTGAGAGACAAGGACCCACTACTACTGCCCACGAAGGCCTCTTGCAGCAGAGGTGAGGAAGCAGATCATAAAGAGGAACTGTCCCCTATTTTCTCCAGCCCAACAGTCTCCCTCAAGCGACCGCCCCATCTTGGCAGAGCCCAGCAGGAAGCTGCTGCACACTGGCAGGAAGGGATTTGCAGAATCCCAGAGGACCCAGGGCAGAGGAGAACGGGTGGGTGTGTTTGGAGCTCAGGGGCCACAGAAACAAGGACTAACATATTCAGTTGTGTTCTTTTCTAAATTGTTTGGCATTTCCATTTTAGACGCTTTAAATACTTTGCGGGATATATATGTGTGTGTGGCAGGGGTTTGCACTCTGGGGGCTGCCACGCTTAGTTGGTCTTGGTGCCTCCAGGATGGCATGGGATGTGTGTGGGGCAGTGCCAGGGACTGAACTCGGACTCCTGTCTACATACTCTTACCAACCAGCTGTTCCCTGGGTCTCCTGATTGAATTCTCTTTTAAGCCAAAAGTCATCTTCGAAAAATCTCGTTTAACTTCCACATGTGTCACTTGCTGTTTTTCCTCTCATTGTGCTAATTTTTTTTTAATTTAATGCCCAAAAGGGAGGAGGGAGAGAAAGAGAGAGTGAGAAAGAGAGGAAAATCTCCAGAGAGCGAGGGGAGGGTGGCTGGAAGGAAAGTGGGGACATTGGGGGTGGGAAATATACTGATTTTTATCTAGATTGCGTTGTGGTTGGTGAATGTGCCTTCTGTGTGCTTTGCTCTACAGGTTTGCCAGTCACTCGCTGGCTCTGGGATTAGTGGTTGATTACTTCTCTTTTATCAACTTTTATTTTATTTTATTTTGTGCTTTTTGGGTCATACCCAGCAATGCACAGGGGTTACTCCTGGCTTTGCACTCAGGAATTACTCCTGGCGGTGCTCAGGATCAAATGGGATGCTGGGATTCAAACTTGGGTCTGCGCGTGCAAGGCCAATGCCCTACCCACTGTTCTATCTCTCCAGCCCCTCTTTTGTCAACTTTTAATTTCTAGTTCTAGTACTTCTATCAACTTTTTTTTTAATTTTTTTCCCTTAAATTTTTCTTAGCGAAACACCATGAGGTACAGTTGTAGACTTACAAATTTTTGTGCTTGGGTTTCAGTTATACAATGATCAAGTTGAGTACCCATCCCTCCACCAGTGCCCATTCTCCACCACCACGGGTCCCAGTATCCCTCCCACCCCCCATCCCCTCATCGCACCCTACCTCTGTGGCAGGGCATTCCCTTTTGTTATCTCTCTCCTTTTGAGTGCTGTGGTTTGCAAAAGAGACATTGAGTGGCAATCATGTTTGGTCTATAGTCTACTCTCATCAAGCATCTAATCCTCCTGGTACTTATCTTGGCTATTCTTGGGTGTTAGTCTCCCATTTTGTTACTTTATGTTCCCCAGATGAATACAATCTTTCTATGTCTGTCCCTTTCTTTCTGACTCATTTCGCTTAGCATGATACTTCCCATGTAGTACCACTTGTATATGAATTTCATGACTTCATCTTTTCTAACAGCTGCATAGTACTCCATGTATCAACTTTTAATTTCTACTTTTCAATGTTGAGATACATCAAGATTCGTGACCTGGACTTGATAACTTTGTCTGTACACATGCAGCCTGTACACATTTATTGTAATTGCTCGTGTGTCTACCATTTCATTTTATAATTTGGCACACATGAACTATTTTTTTTTTCTTCCTTATTTCTGTCTTTGATCCAGTTTCTTTTCTATGTTTGCATTTGGGCCACACCTGGCAGTGCTCAGGGCTTACTCCTGACCCTGTGCTCAGGGATCACTCATGGTGGTGCTCAGGGAGTCATAATGTGGTGTGGGGATCAAACCAGAATTGACCACATGCAGAGCAAGCACCTTGTCCCTTACTATCTCTCCAGACCCTGATCAGTTGCTTTTTTTAAGAAATTCCTTTTTAAAAAAGCAGCTTATGAGGCTAGAGAGATTACAAGCGGTTACAATGCTTGCCTTGCATGTGGCCAATTTGGGTTTTCTCCCCGGCACTCCATTATGGGTACCCCCAGCTCCCTGAGCACAGAGCTAAGAGTAAATCTGAGTACCACCAGTTGCGGCCCAAAAACAAATAAAAATTTAAAAGCATCTTATAAATTAAGATCACAAAATTATCTGGAAAGTATTTGGTCAAACTGTCTGCAAAGTATGATTTTCTTAGAGTTACTTTTGTTTCAAGTCTTCCTTTCATTTGTGTTCTAAAGCTGATTCATTCACTAGCAACTTAATATTTTTGAACGGTGAATTCCTGAGTGCTTGTGTTTATAAAATGTCCTGGTTCCACCCTCATGCTGGAATCACATTTGACTGAGGAAAATTTCTAAATTCAAGTTGTTCCCCCTGGAAATTTTTAAGTTATGTTTTGATTTTATTCCTCACCCCTGGAGTTGTCAATCTAGTAAAGACTCCTATCAATCTAGTTCTCATTCTCCTGTAACTAATACTCTTCTCCCCTCTCTGGAAGTGTTTTAAATTTTCATTTGATCCTTGGGTGTTTGGGGTATGATTACTTTCCCATTTATCCTGCTTGGCTCTGAGGACTTTTCCATCTAACCATCATTGTTCTGTTCTTGGAAATGTTCTACAGCCACTTTGGCTGAATGTTCAACTTGGTTTCTTTTTGTTTTGCATTCTAAGAATTCTCTTGGGTAAATATTGGGATTCTTGAATCATAGAACTGAGGGAGCTCAGGTCCATACTCCTCCTTTCTTCCCTTAAACTCTGGTTCTTGGAGAATTCCACAGCAAGTTTTCAGCTCACTTGTTGATTCCTTGGCAGTGTTCAAGCCTCTGCTCTGCCCTTCTTCTGTTCATCCTGTTTCAGAACAGCTCCCTCTGGTTTCATAGAAACAGTATTCTTTTTTTCACTCTGTCATGTTGTCATTTTATTTGTGAAATGTGTCACCGTTGGTTTCTTCAACTATTTATTCCAGTGTCCATTCTTCTGATTGCCAAGTTCTATGCCTAATGTAGTGTTTTTCCCAAACCCCAGCGTGTTTTGATTATGCCTCCCCCATTGGTAGTTAGCTGAGTGAGTATTCCAGTTTGTGGTTTCCTGGGCATAATACCTGTGTTTTCTAATATTATTCGAGATCCAAGTTACTTCCCTGCTCTGGGCACAAGCTTGGAGGGGACTAAACCTATTAAGTTTTTTGAAAACTCCTTTTGTGAGATTTAACCCTTTTTTTGTACATTTGCACAGATCTGCAACACACGCATATACATCCCTGTGCCAGCCTTCCTATTTCTCTGCTAGACTCGGGAAATTCTAATCATTAATTCAGTGCTTCCACTAGTAGTGAATGAAATAGATGAATCTTGATCACGGTTTTTTTTGTTGGCCTTATATCACATAAAACATAAGGAGCTTATGTTTTTTCTTCACCTATAATAAACATATTTGACTGTTTGGGTTTATATAATGTATTTATTTATTTTGATTTGGGGGCCATGCTTGGCTGTGCTCAGGGATTGCTCCTGGCTCCCTGATACTTCAGTATAACTCCTGAGAATGCTGAGAGGGCCTTAATGCTGCTCTAAGGATATAACCTGGGTTGGTCACATGCAAGGCAAGCACTTTAACTCCTGTATTATCTTTTCAGCCCGTCATGCCATTCTTAAAATGTAGTTATCAGTATCAAAACTTATTGAAATATGCTTATTGTCCATAAACATCATGCTTATTGGGATTTTTTTAACATTTAAAAAATATATAGATCAGATGGATATCTAAAAAAAAAACTGTTGCAAATAACAGAAGATATGAGAGTAACACTGAGATGGTTGTAATTAATTCTGGGTATTTTTTTCCCCCCAGGGGATACTTTCTAATGAACTGTTTACCATACTATCTAGTATTCCTGAGGCTGAAAAATTTGCTAAATTCTGGATCTGTAAGGCAAAGTTGATGGCAAGTAAGGGGACATTTGATGTTATTGGATTGTACGAAGAAGCCATTAAAAGTGGGGCAATGGTGAGTATTTTTCTTGAGTGAGTAATTTCTTAAAAATTCTCTTTCATGTGAGTTCTCTGGGGTTTTTTGCAGTTGTGGCCAGTCTTTAATATAAAGTTTGACTTCCCATTCATTTATCAAAATGACATTCATAAAGTATATAAAGTACTTTATGAACATTTTCTTTAGAATTCTTTTTACAGAGACCAGGGTGGGAACTCAATACCTTGTACCCCAGGTTCAACCTCTGGTTCTGTATGCCCCCCCTCCCCAGGTACATCCAGGGATCACTCTTGAGATCTCTGAACACTTCAGGGTTTAGCTCTTGTGGCCCCAAGCAGTGGTCTCGTCACTGAGCTTAAGCACTGAACTGTTAGCTCAGTTAGCCAAGTATTACTAGGTGTGACTCTTGACCAATCATTGTTTCTGAGGCCTCCCAAAAGATACATTTTTTTTTTCAGTACCAAGGAGATAGATAATTTCGGGGCTAAAGTGTATGCCTTGCGGTGCCCAATCAGGTTCAATCCCTACAACCATATGATCCCTTGATCATTGCCAGATATCACCCTGGAGACTCCTGGGCACTGCCAGGTGTGACCCTTGAGGCCCCTGAGCACGGCTGGAGTGAGCCAGGTGGTCCTCGGGCACCACAGGGCCCTTAAATGTTTAATCTGGCTAGGTTAGCCAAGAATAGAAGGACCAGTACTAGACCCACTGATCACTGCTTGGAAGAGAAAAAAAACTTCTGTCATACAAAGTATAAGAGTAGACCCACAGAATCACTCTTCATTAAATATGTTCAATTAATGCTCAATATAGAAATATGCACATATGGGGTGTAATAGCATGGAAATGTATAACATCTGTCCAATACTTATAAAATTATGCCTTACCATATAGAACTCAACACATCAAGATCCATAAATTAGTAACTCAGATCTGTTGTCTGAACTGGCTTCTAATTTTTACTAAAAACATAGTCTATATAACTTTTGCGTGTGTGTGTGTGTGTTTTGATTCTTGAGCTGCACCTGGCAGTGCTCAGGAATTACTCCTGCCTCTACACTCAGGGATCAAACTCAGATCAGCTGTGTGCAAGGCAAATGCCCTTCCCTCTATACTATCACTCTGGTCCCTACATAACATTTTTTACCTAAGTCTGCTTCAAAATATTTTATAATTCTTCTCCCTTAAACATTCACTTTCTTTGGCATCCTATGTTCATGGTCGTTCAGATCAAACTTGTGTATGCACATAGTTTAAAACCAGGTCAGATAGTTTGATGAGGCTCATTTACTAAATCTCTGCTTCCCTCCCCTCCTATTTCCTGTTCCTGCAGCAAAATGATTATTTTTCGTATTTACTTCTGTAATTCAGAGAGCATGCTTATATTGCATTCTTTTTCCCGTTGAACGTTTTTTAATGCTTTCTGTTTTCTTGCCTTCTAGCCAATACAAGAGCTGCGAGAATTTGTTTTGAAGATTTTACAGAACCCAAACGAACCCACAAAAGGTACTAGTATTTTATATTTACATGCACTCCCTGCAGCCACACAAGTAAAACCCAGTGTAAGATGGAGAGGAAGTTGGTTTAGCTGCAATGCCAAGCTCCCCCCAGAATGGTTTAGCTGACAAGTCCCCCCAAAATGCCTCCCCTCTCTTGGCTTCCACTGCTGTCTCGGTCATCATCATGGTCAGTTTTCTCACTAGTTATAAGTTACTGTTCTGCATGACTTGGAACACAGGTTCTCACCCCAGAAGCCTAGAGCAGCCTAGTCTTGTTCTCTGAAATCCCAGAAGAGACTGAGGCAGAGAGGAAAATGTCTGTTTATTCATATATTTAATCATGGTAAACCCAACCTCGCTCTTATATCCACATTTGTGCCATGGTTTTAAAATAGCCATCTCAGAAATTTTTTCACTCTGTGTTGACCATTGCTGTCAATGATAAGAAATTGTAGAGGCTCTTCAGTGAAAACTACTAGGTTTAAATTCAGTGAGTAGGGACCGGAGCAATAGTACAGTGCGGATACGGCACTTGCCTTGCACACAGCTGACCTGGGTTCCATCCCCGGCATCCCATATGGTTCCCCAACCCTGTAGGAATGAGCCCTGAACACTGCCCTATGTGATCCAAAAGCCAAATAAAATAAAAAATAAAATAATTTAGTGAGTAGTGTATTGTAATTGCTTATAACATTAATGAAAGGGGAAAAAAGCTACCTCCAGAGAGTAAAATGTGTGATTTTTGTGATCTTAAGAAAGTGATAGGGGCTGGGGCAATAGCACAGTGGGTAGGGCATTTGCCTTGCATGTGGTCAACCTGGATTCGATTCCCAGCATCCCGTATGGTCCCCCGAGCACCACCAAGGGTAATTCCTGAGTGCAGAGCCAGGAGTAACCCCTCTGCATCGCTGGGTGTGACCCAAAAAGAAAAAAAAAGTGATTTTTTTTTTCCCTCATAAGAGTATTTTTTTTGGTGGTGGTGGTGGTGGTGGTGGAGGAGGGGGAATTGTTGGGGGTCTTTGTTTTGTTCTGGGTTTTTTGTTTGTTTTTAAACCATACCTGGCAATGCTCAGTGGTTACTCCTGACTCTGCACTCAGGAATAACTCCTGGTGGTACTTAGGGGACCATATAGGATGCTGGGAATTGAACCCAGGTTGGCCACATGCAAGGCAAATGCCCTACCCACTATACTATTGTTCTGGCCCCTCTAAAGACTAGTTTTAATTTTGAGGAATACTCAAGTCATGTGGTATTGAGCTAAGCCATTTTCCTTTGGGAATGAATAAGATCACACAGTAGACATAACTAGTAGTACCCTTACTAGGAGAGATGCTATGGTTCAGATGTTTGTTAATTATATATAGCAGTGTTCCTAGGGGGATGAAAAGAGGATATAAGAGTCTATGTTTTATGGCCTGGGCAATAGTACAGAAGGCAGGGCACTTGCCTTGGAAGTGACCAACTGGGCTTCAATCCCTGTCACCCCATAGGTCTCCCAAGCCCAGCAAGGAGCAGTTCCTGAGCTCAGAGCCAGGACTAATCCCTGAAAATTGCCTGCTATGACAAAACAAAACAAAACCCCAAGAACACCAACGACAACAAAAAGTCTTGTCTTTATCATTTGGGGGCCTTCATTGAGCTTTCTTGCAGGGGGTGTCTGCCTCCAACTTTAGTGTCTGCCTGATTTAGTCTATTTCCTTTCTCTCATCTCATTGTGCTGACCGGGATGTCATGCAAATTGTATTGACAAGTGATTTCTTCACAGCTCTCCACAATGTGGTCATTTGTGGCTAATACAGCAAGAAAACTGAACCAAGATAATGTGTAAGGGTTAGGCCAATGATTAGCTTCTAAGGGTGCTCTTTGGAGAGTGAATTTAAAAAGTGCAGCTTTGTTAAACATGTTGAATATGTAACTAGGACTTAGTCTGCAAGCAGTTAAGTAGGTCCAAAGGAGGTCATGGGGGCTGGTAAGTAGGATGACCTGATACAGAGAAAACATGGCTTTAACTTAGCAGAAAAAGCTATGATTTCCCATTGAAATCTGTCAGTTCATTTAGAATATGGTATGCATGAGAGTCACTAAGAAATCACTCTCTATAGTACTAGTAAGAGTGAGTTTTTCAGTTTATTGGTGTTTAGTTTCAGTATTAAATTGCTAAACCTTACTTTCCTTCTTCCCTTTGTATTCACAGCACTTACCGATGATAATTCAGTAGCAGAAACAAATATAACATCAATAGAAGAACTGACCGAGAAGGTGGCGTGTGGAAGGTCTTGTCTTTCTCCCAAAAGGAGGGAAGAGGTTTTAGCAACACCCCAGATAATGAAGGCAGAACCCAACGGTCACACTGGTATTAAATTACAGGTTGCTTCAGTCCCCAGGTGAGCAACAGACTTTAAGGCAGGTTTGGCCATCGCCGCTCAGTCTCTAGTCCAGTCCTCCCTATCTCCTGCCCAGACTCAGGGTACCAATAGGCCATAGTACCTACCACTGTGTATGAGGACCAGGCAAACTAATCCACCTTTGGCCTGGAAGAGGAGCGGAGGGTGGGTGGAAGGTTAGGATGCCTGACCCAGGGAAAGACCCACTTTTTTCATCCCCTCCACTCCCCTAGCCAAAACCTAAGCTGCTTCCAGAACCCAGAGGGGTCTTGGGACGGATCCATCTCCTCCCTTCTGGAATTGGTCCTGCTTCTGTGCTTCATTATTCCTGCATTCGCCTACTCCACATCTTTCCAGCCAGCCCAGGCACAGGTTGGGACAGTTTGGAAGGGGGTCGAGGGGAGGGGGGGTCAGCAAAGTGCCAGGCAGAAGCCACTGCCACAGCTGTTGTGGGCATGTTAGGAGCAGGACATAGGCCTGTGGGAACAGGGAGGCAGAGACTAACTACACACTGTTCATAATATCAAAGGAAGGACTTTGGTACTTGGTTTTTAACAGGTATACTTTTAAGAAAGATAAGGAAGAATCCAGACTCCTTTAAGCAATGGTGTCAGGCTCTTGGTAGCGTTTTCTACATGAATGTAATATCAGCATTTTGTTCACAATCCAAAAAAGAGAGAATGCCAACAAAAATCCCAGGGCCATTATTCTTTATTTTAGTATTTAGTGATGGAGTCCCTAGCACAAATCAGTAATTCCCAGTCCCAAACTCTTAGTCATTCCCCCACCTCAGTCAGCCCAGGGATGGATGAAAGCAAGCTGTGGATCTGAAAACCATCTCTGGATGACTCCGAAGTTTATTCTAAGAACTTTGAGCAAACTGGCCTCCAGTTTTACTTTGTTTATGCTTTATGTGGTCATTGGTGTTTTAATGTATAGCTCAGTGTTACATGAAAAGGCCAAGATATGTACAGTTTCCCCTGTTCTGAATGAGGGAAGCCAATGGTTTTCATTTTTGGTTTTGAAGGTTGGGGTTTTTTTGTTTGTTTGGGTTTGGGGCCTCACTTGAAGGTGCTGGGGGCTTACTGCTTGACCTGATCCAAGGAATCATTCTTGGTGGGCTCAGGGGACCATAGGGTGCTAGGGGTCAAACTCAGGCCAGCCACGTGCAAGGCAACTGTCCTGACTGCCTTACTAGCTCCCCAACCTCCAAGCCAGTGATTTTCAACCCAAGATAGTTTTGTTTTTTTTTTTTTAAAGCATTGAGGGGAGAGGAATTTTATTTATTTTTTGCTTTTTGGATCATACACGGCAATGCACAGGCGTTGCTCCTGGCTCTGCACTCAGGAATTACTCCTGGTGGTGCTCGGGGGACCATGCTGGGAATCGAACCCAGGTTGATCGCGTGCAAGGCAAACACCTTACCAACTGTGCTATCGCTCCAGCCCCAACCCGAGATAGTTTTTAAAATAAATCATGTCAAAGCCAGAAAGAATCATGACTTCTGTCTCCAACCATACTACCCAGAAGGTGCACTAACTCGAAGCTAAGAATCGTAGCTAAGACTGCTTCGGTCCATCCCTATTTGGGGTTAGGCCCAGTTTCCCCAAAACCTGGCCGTTCTCTTGAAGAAATTTATGGACTAAACAAACACCAACTGCCAAGTAATTGGTTTCAAATAAAAACCACACTTTAGCTTTATTTTAATCAATCCCTATTCTTGCACCATCTGACAGTCGGGGGAAGTTACACAAGAACAAGAGCTCGTCTAAATGTGTGTTTTATGTCAACCTCCTTGGTTCCATCCATCATGTTTCATTAGGGGATAAGAAAAAATAAGGGGCCGGAGAGCTAGTACAATGAGTAAGCCTTGCATGCAGTTGATCCAAGTTCCATCTCTGGCATCCCATACAATCCACCATGTACCGTCAAGAGTAATTTCGGAGTGCAGAGCCAGGAGTAACCTCTGAGCATTGCTAGGTGTGGCCCAAAAACCAAAAGGAAAGAAAAAAATAATAAGTAAAATTCCAAAAGAAGGTATAAGACTAAAATAAGTCGCTATTACAAAAGAAAATGTAAAGTTTTGAGTGCAACTCTCGCTTTCCCCCAGAATAAATGGAATGCCAGAAGTGCAGGACACAAAACTCATCACTCCTGTGCGGCGCTCAGCAAGGATCGAGAGAGTACTGTCCCAGTACCCAGATATGCTGAAGGAACACGATGTGGTGGTTTCGTCACTCGATGACCTCCTAGAAGTGGAAGACACAGAGTATTTCATATTCCGTAGAAACGAGGCCTTGCCTGTAACATTAGGGTTTCAGATGCTTGAATCATAATTTTTTGACACTATTTTTTTTTTTAAAGATCTGAAACACCTCTTTTCCATGAGACACTTGCCCAAATAAACCTGGAAGAAACAAAATAATGAAGAAGCATTTTTGGATGTAGCTAATGGGCAATAGAGATTTGGAAAGGAGCTCACTGAACTTCCTCTCAAATTTTATATCCTCATCAGAAAGTCTATTGTGTTGAAGGCTGTAATTCAGCAGTTTTTGTTTGTTTGTTTCATTGTCATTGTCCTTTAGATTACATATCTGTAATAGTGTCAACATGTATGGCTTTGATATAGAGTTACCACACTTCACCACCACCAAGGTGCCCAATGCCCTCCACCGCAATCCTTAGGTCACCTCCAGCCCGATGCTTTATTCTCTGTACCAGCTCCCCGCACTGCATGGTAATCTCAGTTTTGTATTCCAAGGCCAACACTGCATCATGTTTGATATGTGTTCCTTAGTTTTGTGTGTCCATGTATCACAGAGGAATGAGACTATCTGGCATTTGTTGTTCTTTTCCCTCTGACTTATTTCACTTAACACAGTGCCCCCAGTTCCATCCACAATGCAGTGAACTGCATGATTTCACCCTTTTTTCAGCAGCATAGTATTCCATTATGTATATATGCAGTAGCTAATTTTTATGGGGATTAAGGGTGGGGGAAGGGTTGGTGACCACACCCAGCAGTAGCCAGAATTAATCCTGGCAATATTGGGGACCCTGTGTTCTGTGAGAATTGAACGAGGGTTGGTCACATGCCAGGCAAGTGCCTTACCCCTAGTACTGTCTCTCTGACACTTGCACACCTGCTTTATCCTTTAATCTATCATGGACATTGCATTGTTTCTATATCCTGGCTATTGTACACAGTACTGTAATGAGCGTGGGTGAATTTGGCACCATTTTCAAACTATTGAATATTTATTGACCCCAAACACATATATGATAAAATTTTGCACTTTATTGATCTACTTTATCCCAAACATAGTTGGTTGGGGAAAGAGGAAGGGGGGTACATAAAAAGGTTGTTTTGGTGCCAGGGAGTTCCTGCCCTGTGACGTGTGAGTACTGCCACAGAGCAAGAGCCCTGCCCCAGAAGTCTGTGTAATCTAAGGATTGGTTCTGCTGCAGAGTGAGACTTTCACCCCCCTCATCCACTTCCAACCTCCTTAGCTGCCATGGCAAGTGCCACTGGCATGGAAGAGCTGAGTTTAGAAACTCGTCTTCCAGGGCCAGAGTAATAGCCTTCCAGCAGGTAAGGTATTTGCCTTGCCCATGGCCAACCCAGATTTGGTCACCAACATCCCATATGGTCCCCCAAGCATCACCAGGAGTAGCCCCTGTGGCCCAAAATCCACAAAAGAAGCAGCAGCTCATCTTCCTGCCTAGATAGTCCTGGATGATCATTTGGTTACATCCCTGACTTTACCTGTTCAGACTTGCTTGTATACCCAGCCTCAGAGTTCCCAAATGACTATTAGAGATGACCTTTGACTCCATCATGACTAAGATCCTTAAGCTTAAGATCGCATGCTTTCTGTGCCAAGTCTCCTGAATGAGTCAAATCTGAATGGAGGTGCTCACCTAATTTTTTATATGCAAAGCTCACTGTGCATCCTTCTGTCAACGCTTCAAGAAGAAGAGAAGGGAGCAGAGGTGAGGGATGGGGAAGGATCACTGACATTTCACACCAGCAATGTGCTAGGGACACCCCGCCTGAGAAGGCAGAGCTTCCAGCCCCAGAGACCACTTTACCCATCACCAGGCCTGTCTCCTGGCAGCTGTGCTTGAAAAGGTAAGATCAGAATCAACATCTCAATAGAAGGTGTTGTAGGAGAACCTGGTCAAAATCTTTGACATTTTAGGAGAACCTGGTCAAAATCTTTGACATTTTAACTTCCTTAATATATAAGTGTTATCTAAAACCTAAAAATAAATCAATTTTGTCCATTTTCCCCCTATTGTTTGTCTCATTTATTGTAGAAACTCAGTGATGATCTCTTAGCCCAAAGGATTAGTAGGTTGTCCAAGGAAACGCCAAGGGAAGAAGCCTCAGCAAGTACCTTTATTGTCCCAAAGCACTAGCCCTGAGGCTGGAGAGATAGAACAGCGGGTAGGGCGTTTGCCTTGCAGGCGACCAACCCAGGTTCGATTCCCAGCATCCCATATGGTCCCCTGAGCACCGCCAGGAGTAACTCCTGAGTGCAGAGCCAGAAGTATCCCCCGTGCATCGCCAAGTGTGACCCAAAAAGCAAAAACAAACAAACGAAAAAAAAAAGCACTAGCCCTGCTCTGCCCACAGGCTCACCTAGAGCTGCGTGTTTTTGTGAGGGATTGTTAAGACTAAGTTTATCAATCTCTAATGCAAATAGATTAATTTACTGTAGCATGCTGTTGCACTGTCCTCCTGTTGTTCATCGATTTGCTTAAGCAGGGACCAGTAACATCTCACAACAAATTGTGAGACTTGTTGTTACTGTTTTTGGCATATTGAATACAATAAGAGAAATAGTGTTTCAGAGCTGGGAAGAGAGTGCAGCGAAATGGGCACTCACCTGGCAAGTCCATGGTACAGAGCAGTGAGGGACCCATGCCACAATTTCACTCCTACCACAAGATTTTAGATGATGATTGCGACCTTTCCCAGACTTTTGGTGCATGTCTATATGTCCGAAGACATCTGGGCTGTCTCTCGGACAGTTGTCCTTAATGATCTGAGCCCACTAGTTATTTCTGTGAGTGCTAGGGCAGAATTAGGAGCACACAGAAGTACCATTTTGCAAAAAAAAAAAAAAAAAAAGTACTCTTTTGCAAGAAAGACAAGCAGAGCGAGACAAGTGACTCAGCAGCAGGGGTGTGCCTTGAATATGTGGGGCCCTGGATTCAATCTCTAGCACCATCAGAAAAATATTAAAAAGTAAAGAAAATTGGATATGAAACACGACATGATTCAGGGGGCATGGATGAAATCATTACACTCAATACACATTTTTCAGAGGCCTCACAGGGCATTATGGTTTCAAGGGATAGGGCAACTCTTCCTCTCTGAAGAAAGTGTCCTGGATTCCCAAATTTACTCCCAAATCGGGAGTCCAGCTGTTTCGCCCCTTTTCCAGAAGTTTCCTGGCAGCTGGGCTAACATTTCCCAGCAAAGATGACTGATTTCAGCCCAGGTCCATGATTCAGTCAGCCTCAAAGCTATCCTCCTGGCCTTTATCTCTCTCTTTGCTCTCCACCTTACAAGGGCAAAAAAATAAATACATAAAATATATTGGTTATGGACACTTTCTTCCCAAGCATGGAGCACCTCCCACCCAGTAGCAGAGGATGTGTCAACCTGTAGAGGTGGGAAGGTGACAAGGTCTTCCCAGAGAACCCAGAATTGTGGAGGAGCTTGACTGGGCTGAGATGAAATCACAGTCACAACTCACACATCAAAGAGGACATGATGCTTGAATTCTGAGCTTCTCTGTGACAAGTCAAGTAGTTCATAATTCTGTTCCTACTTTTGGATGCCCTTGGCCAAGGCTAGTTGACAGAAGGGGCACTGTTGCTGAGGCCTCAGCTACTGGTTACCTATGAGTCTAACCAGGGGAGAAACAGAAATGTTCTTCAGGACCCAGGGATGCAGAACCACTCATGAAGTTCAAGTCTCCACTCAACAGGGGGGGGTCACAGGTGACAGGTGAAAGCAGGAGCCCTTACTCATGGTTTACAAAGGCTCCTTTGGAGGGGAGGCCTGGCAGGCTCTCAACCTCTTCCAGAGCCTGGATGGATCAGCCAAAAGGGGTGGGGAGGGGCCGGAATGATAGCAGAGCAGGTAGGGCGTTTGCCTTGCTCTCGTCCGACCCAAGTTTGATTCCCAGCATGCCATATGGTCCCCTGAGAACCGCCAGAAGTAATTCCTGAATGCATGATCCAGGAGTAACCCCTGTACATCGCCAGGTGTGACCCAAAAAGCTAAAAAAAAAAAAAAAAAAAAGGAGAGGGAGTGCAAGACCCTGAAGAGGAGATCCCAGGAACGTGGCCACTCATAGACACTTTCCCATTTTTAAACAAATGTTTTAACTTTCTTAAGGCCAGAACACAGGGCTTATGGCACTTTCCTTGCATGTGGCTGATCCCATTTTGAATCCCTGATACCCCGTTTGGCCCTAAGGACCACCGAGGATCACTCTTGAGCACAGAGCCAGGAATAGCCCTGAGCATGACTGGGTGTGACCAAAAATTAACAGCAAAAGGAAAGGAGGGAGAGAGGAAAGGAAAGAGAGAAAGGAAGGAAGGAAGAAGAAAGAAAGGAAGAAAGTTATGAGTTAGACTCACCCCGCTGTGCCCTCCCCAGTACCTGCCACAGAAGGCACCCCTCTGGAGAAGAAGGAAGGAAGGAAGGAAGGAAGGAAGGAAGGAAGGAAGGAAGGAAGGAAGGAAGGAAGGAAGGAAGGAAGAAGAAAAAAGAAAAGGAAGTAAAGAAAAGGAGGGAGGGAAGGAAAGGGAGGGAGGGGGAAAAGAAAGAAAGGAAATAAAGAGAGGAGACAGTTCATGCTTTAGGGAGACCCAGATCAAGCACTGCATCAGCAAGTCCTGAGCACTGAGCCAGAAGTAGTTCCTGAGCACCAGCAGGTATAATCTAAACCCCACCCCACCCCCAAACAACGAAATGTAGTTAAAATTTTAACTTACCCTTTTCTGTTCTGAACTTAAATTCATACTCATATAAATATTCTCTTGTTATTGTATAAAATCAATATCCACCTAGAACATGAGTGGAATAAGATTATCAAAAGGGGCTGGAGAGAGTGCAGCAGGTAAGGCACTTGCCCTGCAGGCAATAGTTCCATCATGGCACCCCAGAGGATTCCCTGAGCCCTACCGGAGTGACCCCTGAGCTCAGAGTCAGAAGTAAGACCTGAATTCTGCCAGGTGTGGCCCCAAAACCAAAACCAAAATTTAAATGATAATATAAGATCAGTATTTCAATATATGTATTCAGGATTGATTT